ACATCCCAAAGTGGCAGCTGGGTGTCAGAACCAGCCTCCCCGCCAAAGTGCAGCGAAGGGGGTGGAGGTTTCAGTGTGTCAGGGGAAGCGGCTCCGGCAGTAGAGAAAGGAGGGAGGTCGGAGCAAGCCATCCTCCCGGAAGGGAGGGAGCAGTGAAGGGAGTAGTGTAGCTGTTGAAAGGAAGGGTAGAGGCTGGGCGCGCGCGCCACGTTCGCAGGTCGCGGCGCGCGGAAGTCCAGGGAGCCCGGAGGAGGGGCCAGGTCCCAAAGCCTGCAGGAGGGGCAAGAGCAGTCTGATTCCGCGTCAGAGGAATCCAGGAGGGGCGAAACCCCAGCGGGCAGAAGGACCCTGCGGAAAAGGAAAGAGAGAAAGAGGTGGAGCAGCGCAAGCCTCTTAAATTGGTGCAGGGGAGGGACGGATTCAGAGGGGACTACAGCGGTCTAAGCGTAGCAGACGTAGGGCTGCGCGCCTAGGATGTCAAGCAAACAATGAACTGCAATAAACACTTTTGTATATAAGAAGACATAGGCGTTGGTCTTTTGTGAGCTGAGACTTGAGGCAGCTCTGACAATACCTATATAAAATCTCAGCATATATCTGTATACAAGATATCAGCTGCAGGAATCATAGAAACATGGAACTGTAGAGTTAGAAGGGACGGCAAAAAAGATCTAGTCCAACCCCCTGAAGTGCAGGAATCACTGCTAAAAAAAATAACCCTGGACTACATTGGCCCTTGCAATTGGCAGGCAGTAGGAACCCTCTAGAATGACAAGCATAGTGGACACACTAGATCTACATCTCCTGGCTGCATCACCAATTACAAAGCAGAGATGGGGCCAACATAGTGTGGTCCAGGGAGCAAGTGACCACTGTCTGTGGCAAGGAGGTGAACAGGAGGGAGAGAGTAAGAAGAGAGACTTCAATCTTCTCACCACCTAAGCTTTGATCTTCCTACAGCTACCGACTTCCGGGTTAGCGCCATCGCCGAATGGCGGACTCCCTCCGAGCTCCGGAGGGAGTCTGCTCGGCAGGGGCTGGGTCCTACCGCGCCGGCGACGCGGGGACCCTTAAAAACCACGGGCACGGAGTCCGTGGACATGGGTGACTCGGCTTGCACCATTAGCGCCCTCCCGACTCGTGAAGGAGCCTTTTAAAGGCTTCGGACCGGGTGCCGGGGAGTGGCGTGGTGCTTTGAGTCCACTGCTTTCCTGCCGGCGCAGCCGCATGCCATTCGACGGAGAGCGCTGACTTCTTCTATTGAAAATTTGGATTATTAACAACAACCCGTGAGTAATTGGGAAACCGGGTTCAAAATTTTGGATTTGGCACGAGCGGGGGCGATTTAAAAAGGAAGTCAATCCCCCCCCCCTATTGTAAGCATTCCAAAACAAGGACTGGGTAACCAAGGTCCAAAGGGAAGTATGTCTCTGATAAAAATCATTAATTCCACGATGGGAAATTATAAGAAATGTGCTGGAGGAGAAGAGTGGAGGGTGAGAAGAAAAATGCAACCCCCCCCCCCTGGGAACCGGGGCGATTCGTGGAGCCTGGTGAAGAGAGACGGAGACTTTGACAGCTGTCAAAGTGGCTGTCAAAGCTGGAGAATATAAAGAGGACTTTGTTATGAGGACCTTGCTGGTTAATTTTGTTACAATTTGCTATAATATGGATATAAACTGTTGGAAAATAAGCAACAATTTGACTTTTGGATTAGAGGATACAAAGTTATTACAATCCCCTAGAGGGGTTTTGGGATACTACAAGAACGGTCGTAAGTGGAAAAATACCCTGGGATTCGCACAGGATTTGTTATCTTCTGGGAAAGCTGCAAAACTGAAAGAGTATTTTGTCTACAGAGGAAGACAATGGAATTTTTATTGAAGAAAGAAAGGGACTGGACGTAAGTTTTTGTTCCTGAATAACAAACCTCTGCAGAGACACTAGATTTCTGAATTAGAAAGTTTTAGCAGCTGAACAGGACAAGAAACCTGAGAAAGTGAGGAATAAGAAGAATAAAGGACTGATTACGACACGGAAAGAACAACGGGAGGAGTGGTAAAGATCAAGGAAATTAAAGACCTTTGTTAGATTGGACATTTGAAGTCAAAAATTATTTAAATTAATAAACTAAAAGAAAACCGGCAAGTTTAAATGGGGTAGAAATCTGGTTATGAAATGAGACTTCCAAGCTGATAATGTATAGACTGATGGACATGGGGAATTCAAACCGGGGAAGGGGGGGGGGGGAGATTTGAAATCCAAAGGCTGTGTAACCATTTTTTGAATTTTATATATCTCTTATTTTCTATTTCTTTACATAACTTACGCATGTTATTTTACTTTGATCGGACGTGTTTAAAAAAAGGGAATTTGTGGAAGGAACTGGGGTGGATCTTGGGGAAAATCTTTCTTCTTTTTCTGTTAATGATGTGGGACGGTGGTAAGATTTGTACAATTCAATCTGGATAGTGGGTTAAACAAATTAAGCTTTAATTTGGGAGTGAGAGCTTGTAGAACCAAATTAAGGAAAGGGGAATACAATTGGGGGGGGGGAGTCCAAGAAAGTAGGGAATGAAAGTAACGTTTTTAAATATCTTATTTCTTTTGTCTTTTTTCTTTGTATTTTTATATTTTTGGAAACTTTAATAAATATGATTTAAAAAAAAAAAAAAAGATCTTCCTACAGCTACCACTCCCTCCTGCTAGCTCCTCTCCCCATCAGGCAAGCCAGCCCCAGCAGCACCGACCCCTCTCGCTCTCCAGGCTTCAAGGATAGCCGCCTGAAGCCTCCAGAGCGCAGCGGGAGCTCCCGCTGCGCTCCAGAGGCTTCAGGTTCCTTTCGCTGAAGGGTAGGTGCCCCTTCAGCTAAGGCGCAGTGCCCCTTCAGCTAAGCGGGAAATGGAAGGGGCTCCGTTTCTCCTGTTGCTTCACTGAAGGGGCGCTGCGCAGAGAGGGGGAGAGATTTTTTTTCTTGTTCTCCCCCTCTAAAACAAGGTGCATCCTATGGTCAGGTGCATCCTATAGAGCGAAAAATACGGTACTTTCATAGTACATAGGTGTTATGAATTTGTCTTCCCTTCCCAGCCCCCCAAATAATAGTGGAACTGAGACTCAACTATAGAAGGGCATAACCATTGCCAAACACTGATTGTGCTGCTTCTCATGTCTCTTCCCCGAAACTTTGTGGCTAATTGCTTTAATCCGTTTATGGCAAAGGCTGAGATTTGGGACTTTTTAGCCTCCCCGTTCCATTGACAGCTCCCTATACACCAGAGAAAGCTGCCTGGCAAAGCTGGGAGGTCTTCCAGAATAACATTTCATGTGATGCAATGGACTGCTGCCAAAAGGGAGGAGACACACATACAAACACATTGGCTGTGTTCGGACATCTAGATAAAGCATGATTTATCATTATGAGAATGAGCGTAGCATCACCCAGGCTCCATCCTCTTCTTCTGCTATGTCCTCAAGGAGGAGTTTGGAAGCTGCTGCTGCTGCTGCTGCTGCTGCTGCTGCTACTGCTGGCCAACAGAGTTTAATCTTCACTATGGCTTATGTGGAACAAGCCAACTTCAAGATGCAGGTTATAAAGCTGGGTTGTTTCAGTCAAGCCATGGCAAAAGTTAACCATGATTTAGAGTTTGAACATAACACAAAACTGTGGATACTTAAAACTGGCTGTTCTAGTAACCTGTGGTGTCCTCCTCACAGCCACACTGAAGGAAGAATGAGAGAAAGAATTCTGCCACACAGGGGAAGACTAGGCTCGTTCCACCATGGCAAACCATAGTTTCTTGTGCTACCCAAAACACAACCTTTGTTTGTGCACACAGGTGTCTCACAACCACTAAAACACTTCTATTTCCCCCCCTTTAAAACTGCCTCTGTCCAAATGCTGTCAGTTAGACAAAACTTCAGCCCAACAAGTTTGTGGATTTGCCCATTATCAGAGCATTCACATAATATCACTTAGCATCACACAAATCAATACATGTGATTTCAGTTTTCCTGCACTATGGATGCTGTTGGTGGCGGCTCTCGCTTCTCTTTCCTCAAGGGTTATTTTATAATATGACCAGGAAACTGGTGTGCCTCATTATATTGGAGGTTGCTGGCTGCTCTCGCTCTCTCCTCTTTCTTTCCTGGCAGTTGTAATTGTGCAGGACTATTATTGGTCTATTTCTCCTGGGATTGGCAGGGTGTGTAATCATCACAGGCTGACTTCCAGAAGCTTAGCCATTTTTTTCAATTTTTTTGTGAGCCATATGTGAAAAAATCTTTGTAGGTACTGGAAGAAATTTTGGAAGCACAAAAATGTGACACCATTCCTCGACTCGGGAATTTGAGGGCAGCAAATTGCCTATTTCTCAACTGAATGGCTAGGAAGATAAGCGAAGGGGTTAGTTTCAGTCTCTGAGATGAGGTCGTCCGCTTATCAGGTTGTGCCACTCCAGTGGCGGGGAGCTGGTTGTTTTCAAAATCACACCCCTGCCTGAGACCTAATTTTCCCACTGAGGTAAGAAGTTGTGGGCTGTAGTGTCATTCTAACATGAGTTTTCCTGTTCAAGCAAATACAGTGGTACCTTAGGTTACATACCCTTCAGGTTACAGGCTCTACTAACCCAGAAATAGTACCTCAGGTTAAGAACTTTGCTTCAGGATGAGAACAGAAATTGTGCTCCGGCAACGCGGCAGCAGCGGGAGGCCCTATTAGCTAAAGTGGTGCTTCAGGTTAAGAACAGTTTCAGGTTAAGAACGGACTTTGGGAACGAATTAAGTTCTTAACCCGAGGTACCACAGTATCTCCTAACATGAAACCAGGAGTCCTTCTCAGTGGAAACTGCTCCACTAGGGTAACTATGGCACTGTCCCACCATAGGAACATAGAAAGCTGCCTTATTGTGAGTCAGGCTCTTGGTCCATCTAGCTTTGTATTGTCTACACTGACTGGCAGGAGCTCTCCAGGGTTTCAGGGAGCAGCTTTCCCCAATCCTATCTGGAGATGCCAGGGATCGAACCTGTGACCTTCTGCCTTCAAATCAGATGTTCTGCCACTGAGCTACAACCCTTCTCCAACCTCAGTCTGCCCTCAGCCATCCTCCACTTGCTTGCCTTCTTACTTACAAGCAACCAAGGAGGCAGCACTGCCTATCATCTTCCTCCTCCATAGTCCCAGTGTTGCCCTTGTACAACTCAGCAGAGAGGAGGATAGCAGCAAAGGCAGAATTAGTTGACTCTGCCTGCCATTAGCTCTGGTGCCACCTACTGTTGACTTTGCCGCCTTCTGCCATACCAGTCGCAATGGGTACCATCCACCACTGGTCCTTCTCATACAACTACGATACCGTGGGGCTTCTGTACCCAGACGCTCTTGGCTTCCAGTATCAGATTTTGACTTTAATTTCTTTTTTAAATTGTTTATGGACTTCCGGCGCAGCTGCCATGGCAAACTAACGATCCCATGGTAGCGGATGCCAGCCGTGCGGTTAATCAAGGATAATTTGGGAGTAATTATCCTTGTAAGCCCCACCTCCCCCGGTCAGGAGGGGAGAGCTTTCTCTCACGGATTGTCCAATAACTGTTTCTTGTTCCGATGGAATGCGGGGCAGGGACACAGAGGGCATAGCACTGCACGTATTGGAAACTCCCCAATGCAATAGCCATGAGCGGAGATATCTCTGTTTATTTTAAGACGTATCTGAATTTGGACTTAAGAAACAGACGTGTTTGGGAAGAAGGAGAACGATAACCTGCAAAATGAATCAGTCACTGAATGCCAAGGTTTTGATTTGGAGAAGACTCTGGTCATCATAATTGGAATGCTACGTAAGTGAAGGGAGCCTTTGTTCTCATTATACATTATTTTTGCTGTGCCAGGAATCGGCAAACCTTCACTGAAAAGAACCAATTAATAATGGAAGGAAATTACTAATGGATTACAACTATATATGGAATGCAAGAGGGATTCAACAAGAACTTATAATTTTCTTTATGGAGTGCTTGAAAGAATAGACTGTGTGAAATACTGGGATGATTTGTTAACATTTCCAACTAAAGAGAGCTCTAGTTCTGATTTATGATTGTTTTGGTGAGACTCCAGCTCATTAGAAGAAACAAGGATATAAACACTGAAAGTAAGCCAGAAGTCGCGGCCGGACTTCTTTCTGCTTTCGGTTTCAGAGAGGCAAAATGGAGCTATGACACACCTAGAAATGAGCTTTCGAAGGAGGGGCAATGTTGAAAAAAATTGACTGACTACAACATGAAGGAAATGAAGAAGGTAAACAAATATTTCACACAGCTACAGGATATAAATTCCCTCTGCAAGTTAATGGATTTGGATTTATTAAACGCGATAGAAAGTCATCACATCAGTGGCTGCTAGAACAAAGGATTAAGATCGGAATTGTGGAACTTGGATTAATTAAGAAAATTGGTGTAGGATCAAAGAATAACATCAGCTCTTGATAGCCGGAAGACGGGAAGTCATCCAAAAATGTTTAATTTGGAACTGTTTAATTGGCTCTTTTGATTGTATTGTAATTTGGCATTGTATTAATGTGGCCTCCATTGGATTGTTATTAATGAAAATTTAATTAAAATTAATTAAAAAATAAAATAAATCATTTATGAATTGCTGTCTATGAAACATCTCAAATTGATTTAACAAATAAAAACAGAAGAATATAAGAAGAGTCCTGCTGTTTCAGGCCAATGCCCCATCTAGTCCAGGTTCCTGTTCTTAAAGTGGCCAATAAACCAACATATCATAAAGCGGGAATGTGGGTGGCACTGCGGTCTAAACCACTGAACCGCTTGGGCTTGCCAATCAGAAGGTCAGCGGTTTGAATTCCCACAACAGAGTGAGCTCCCGTTGCTCTGTCCCAGCTCCTGCCAACCTAGCAGTTTGAAAGCACACCAGTGCAAATAGATAAATAGGTACCGCTGAGGCAGGAAGGTAAATGGCATTTCTGTGTGCTCTGGTTTTCATCACAGTGTTCCGTTGTGCCATAAGAGGTTTAGTCATGCTGGCCACATGACCCAGAAAGCTGTCTGTGGACAAATGCCAGCTCCCTTGGCCTGAAAGAGAGATGAGCACCACAACCCTGTTAGGATTTTTATCTCACCAGCTGCGCATAGAGCAGCACAATGGTTGTTGACATCATGTGAGTGTCTGAGAGCATGAGACAGGAAGTCTCAGCTCGGTTTCAGTACTGTAAAAAGTTACTTTCGCTTCTGTGTGAAGTGTGTTCTTCCGTACCGCTGCTCAGAGAGAGCAGACACGCGGATGAAGCTCTGTGTATAGACAATGTAAATAAAGTAGTTTAAAGCTACGGATTGTCTCTTTCTTCTGCAATGGGATGCCAGAAGATGAGTGTGCTCCTCTCGGGGGGAGGGGTCACTTATTACCGGTCTCTCTGGACTGAGGAAGATTTACAGCCGGAGGGTGACCACTGGAGAAATGCCTTGGTGTCTTGGGAAGGTGGCGGCCTTCCCAGGAGTTTTTTTTCCAACAAACCCCACAGTTGCCTTTGACTGGACTTAACCATCCAGGGGTCCTATACCTTTTTACCTTTATATTATCAAGCACAACCTCAGAAAACAGTGAATGCTGCAGAACAGAAAAATCCAAGCTCAGAGCAGCCTGATCAAATGTTCCAAAGGCTTTGGAGAACACCAGGTGATGGAATCCAAATCATGTTGTGGCCATCTATGCCTCCAGGGCATAGAAATTCCAGCCACAACAGAGAGGGCCATGTTCCACATCACCACGCAGGGAGTTACACCCACAGTGGGGCAATACACCTCCACTAACCTCAAAGCCTGGGTCAATGATATGAGGAGAGGTGTTCCACCAAGTATCTAGGTCCCAAGTTGTTGAAGGCTTTGTATGTTAGACTTAACACCTTAAACCTATAGGTTTGGAATCCTCTGGTCTAAAAGATCATCGGGAGTAGCAAGGGTGTCATAGCTTTCAGAACCCAAGACCTATGTTAAGCAGCACAGCAGATTGCATGAAATGTTCTCTTATAAAAGCACATCTTTGAGGCAGCTACATGTCAGGTGTTTGCTTTTGTAAACCGTGAACACAAGTCCAGAGTTTGTGCCTTGCTTAACGGTTCCTTCCATTTATCTTTGATCTCTTATGAGAAAGAAGAGCATGTGAACTCGCTTCGTGTTGAGCTTTAGAAGTGGGATAAAACAAGAGTACCATAACAAAGGAGCGACGGAATTGTTTAGCTTCATGGGGAATTCATCAGAACAATGACATTCATTTACAAAAGCATTAACCTTAGCAAAGATCTGCAAGAGAGGGTGGGGGAAAGGAAGGGCTAGTGGTGACAGTTTGCATGCCTTATGTTATGTATTAGATAATGCATTAAGTGCCTGATCCAGCATGAAATATCCATGGCTTTCTGGTAGAGGCGAGCCCAGGGATGCTGGTTCCACAGCAGGCTGGCGGATGATTTCATAGGAAAGGTCACACTGCTTCAGAAAACAAATGGCAAAAATACTTCAAGTGAGACTTGTTTCATTTGGCTCTCTGCCTCCCATTTCCTGCTCCCCCTGGTTTTAAGACATTCTTCTCCCCTCCCTCCACACACACACACACATTAGGTCCATGTGAGTTACAACTGGCCTAAGGCATTCTATTATCTCTGTCCTTCCAATCACTGTCTATTTCCTTCTTTTCTTCATTCCCCTGGATTTTGTACTACTCTCTGACAACTCTGCACTTGCCACTATCTCAATCATTATCAGCCCAGACCCAGCTGAAATCCGATTACCCAGGTTTTTATTTTTTTTACTTTTTGGAGGGCACAAAATGCTTTTGTAATGAAAGGAGTATTAAGGAGCACACAGGATGTCTAAATTAAGGAAACCAACATCCGTCTTATGCATGGTTACATGGGAGTAAACATCACTGATTTCAAAGGGGGACTTGCTTCCAGGTGATGGGGTCTAGCCACCTTTCCCAAGCTGGTGTCTTCTAGAAGTTGAACGTCTGTGGGGTCTTTTTTTGCATTTCTTGGGAATGCAGGGCTTCAATATATTGTTGCATTATACTAAGCCATTAGCAAATTGAATGGCCAGTTTCAAATACCAAGTGACAGAACTGGTTACACTGGTAAATGTTCTGGTCACATGCAAACTGTAGAAAGTTTTGAGATACTGTGGGCATATAATGCCATGAAAATGAAAATTAGGGTGTGTTTTAGAAAATCATTCTTTGGGGTTCGCTTTCTGTGACTAGTTATCTGGAAAGGGACCAGTGAGAAAATGCCTCAGACATGTAGCACATCAAACAGGAACCTGTGAATGCACAGCGGCACACACTATTCCTTCTAACACCAACTGCTAATAGTGACAAGTTACAGCATTGCTATAATTAACATTATTATTATTATTATTATTATTATTATTATTATTATTATTTCTTTTTATTCTGCACTTTGGTCCATAAAGCAGCAAATGACATGTTATAATACAGCCAGAGAAGAACACAAATCAAATACAATACATCAAGTTTATAATCAAATCAGCAGACTCATACAGCAGGATCAGCAGAGATACACAACATTCACCCACTAAAATCAGACACAAACCACAATGATTGACTCCTACTGCTACCACACAGTATTAGGCATCATAATTTGCCTGCATCAGATATTGCATTTTCCAGATATGATCTCTAAAGCAAAGCCAAGCCAAAAAACTGCTTCTTCAAATATGCTCTGTGTAGCATTCTGGTAGGGTGTGATTAGACCTCCAGTTCTGTATTTAAAATAATATGCATATAGATATGTATTATTTGCCAAGGAGCTCTAGCACATGCTTTGCATACAGAAGGTCCCAGTTTCAATTCTCAACATCTCCAGAAAGGACTAGGAAAGACTACCAGTCAGTGTAGACAATACTGAACTAAATACTGAACTAAATGTACCAATGGTCATAAGTCACCTCTATTCAAATGTACATACATACATACATACATACATACATAATATGGGCTGTGCCTCTGCTCAGTTTGCTCAGCAACCCTACGTACTCCCCATCCTCACCTGCC